ATTTAAATAAGGTATGAAAATTTGTGTTAAGAATAAAAAAAGAATGAAAAAATATTCAAATGGAAAAAAAAAAGTCTTAACTCGATAAAGAAATTTTAACGACCAAGTTAAAAATCACTTGCCTAATGGGATAAAACACTTATTATTATTTAAAAACACATTTATTTTTTTTTATATATAATCTTAAAAGGTAATAAAATTGTATTTGTAAAAAAAGAATAAATATGAAGTGAAAAATATTAATTTAAATTGGGTTATTGGGAAAATTGAAAGGGTAAGTCTATATCATATGGATTCTTTTTTGCTTTTGATAGAAGTGGGAGTAGGTTCCAATTTGCAAGGACATATTTATTATTTTTCACCCAAAATGGATTCTGTCTCTCTCTAGAATATTAAAATGACTATTTATTAATATTTCAATTACAAATTATTGAAACAATTTGACATTTTGCATACATACCTAATCTCAATTAAGATTATCAACATTCTAACAATACTTTCATTTACAAAACTAATATTTATAGAATTACGTGTTTTTGTACTTTCAAATGTTTTTGTTAGTACAAGAATTTATTTTGAAAATTATCGTAAAATCTGAATATTGCATTTAATAGGACTCGCAAGCTTGTGTTTTAAACCACATATATTAAGTTTGACACATCAAAGTTGATGTGTCCAAAATAAGTGGCTTAAGATTTTTGCCAAAGACAATACCACAATTTAATGTTAAAGAAAGAAAATAAAAAAAATATATATATTTTAACTTTATAACAATAAAAAAGTTAATTTTTAATTGTAACAGGTTAAATTTTACCAAATGTAATACATATATTTCTTGATTATTATGATGATTTTCATTCCACAATAATTTCATATAGAATCAAATACGATCAAATATTTTACACAACAAAAGAAATAAAACGAAAGAAATGGACGAAACGACAGCGTTTCAGCAGTTCTGTACACTTGCAATGCAATGACCGAAATGCACTCCACATCCGACACCACTAGTCACTCTGTGCCCCTGGCTCGTCTGTT